GGCACGCCGCCCCCCACCCCACGGCTCCCGCTCTGGGGGAGAAGCCGGGCTCAGGCGCACAGTTCAACCCTGAAACACCCAGGCGGGCGGCCTGCTCCAGGGGACGGAAGGACAGTGGAAAGACAGATGGATCCCGGGGACACGCGTGAGAAATGGCAGCTGGGAGGACAGCCTGACCACGCTGTCCCAATCCGTCTGAAAACCGGGCTTGTCAGCGCCAGGACGCGTCTAGGGACTCGCGGGTGGGCGTTCAAACGCTGGGCATTTAGGTCATTCTCGGGAGGGAGGGCAAGAGGGACAGCCCCGCAGTTCACCAGTATTTCTGTGACATCAGCATGAGAACGCCAAACTCAGCCGAGAGGGAGGGAGGGGGCCAGGCCTGTGCCGGCCGAGGTGGGGCTGGCTCAGCAGGCGGGCTCAGTGGGGTTCACGCTAAGGAAGACGAGGTTTGCGACGGGAGAACCTTCGCTCCCGGATCCTGGACCCCACGTGTGTCCCAACACCCCTCGCCCTCCTCCCTGCAGAGGGTGCCGCTGGGAGGGGTGTGGACGGGCCCTGCCACAGCTTTTTTTTTTCCCCCAGCCCCCCCCCCCCCCCCAAGAAGGCCTGAGACGACCCCGCCTAACAACCACGCACACGTGAGCGGGACGGAGACGCCACTGTCCTTGCATGCCCCCCCTCAGGAGGTCCCCAAGGATCCGGCAGGAAGAGAGACAGGGCCCCAGACAATGGAGTGGTGACAGCCTGGGGGAGGGGGAGGGGGAATGGGGGGCATCTGTAAACTGCCTACAACACATAAAGCCAGGCGTGACCAGGCATGACCAGGCGTGACCAGGACGGCATGTTTACACTTTTCTTTAGCATTTCAATTCCCTGCAATGAACAGTTACTATTTTGTTGATTGCAGAGAGGAAGGGAGAGAAACATCCATGATGAGAGAGAATCACTGGTGGGCTGCCTCCTGCGCGCCCCACACGAGGGATGGAGCCTGCAACCGGGCATGTGCCCCGACCAGAATCAAACCGGGCCCTTCAGTTCGCAGCCGAGGCTCTACCCACTGAGCACACCGGCCAGGGCTGAACATTCACTATTTTAATGGCGGGAAAATTCACTCTCATGTTAAAAAATAACTGAATGCAAAGATCAAAACGCTTTTTCTGTTTTAGGAACAGTCCTCCGGATCTGAGCCACCAGCCGGGAGGGGGGGCGCGTGCGGGCAGAGCCCCTGGGAAGGCGAGGCCGGCCCCGAATACGCGGCTGTGGCCTCGACTCTGACCACTCGAGCTGAAGCCATGTGTTCAAAGGGCACGGCTGCTCGGAAGCAGAAGGTGTGAGAGAGCGCTCAGCCACGCAGCAGCATACACTCGGGAAGCATTTTAGGGGCGAGGTCAGGAGGGTCAGGTGTGATCCCTGAAGCCAAGTCCCTTCACAGCCCCCCCCGCAGGGCCCACGGGACACGTGGGGAGGCTGCCCTGAGCCTGACAGCTGTGGTTCTCTCTCTATTGTAATGAAAGACCTGGAACATCCATCTGCCCTCACAGCCCAGCTGGGGCAGAGGCACAGGCCCAGGTCCTGCAGCCGCCACCGTCACCCCTGCAACAGGAGGGGCCCCCCAGGGTCAGGGGACAAACCAGGTTCCCAGGAGAAGTACAGCCCAGCTTCCGACTCGCTCATCCCCCGATCCCTGCTGGCCAAGGTCAGGCCAACCAGCAAGGGCGACCTGGTTAAATGAAAGCTGCTTTCGCTGTCCTTGCCAGCGCAGGTGAGCCCACCCCTCCTGCATGTGGGGGCCCCCACGGCCGCCTCCGGAAGGTGACCTGACGAAAGGAAAGGTCAGAAGGTCGAGGGTCGCTGCTCCTGGCCTGGCCACAGCCCCGCCCACACTGATGCATGTCCCTAATCTCTGGCGAGGCTTCTGCTGCCCTGAAGCACTCACCACTGGGAAACACCCTTCTCTCCCCACCAACCCCTTTTGTGGTCGCAAACCTTTGTGAGCTGCCTGGGATCCCCCGCTGGGAACGGCCCCTCCCTCGGCCTCCCTGACCTCAAAAGCCCCGACCGCCTGCCGTGGCCCCTGCCGCACAAAGAGCAGAGCTTCTGGTCTTGGCTTTGGGGAGAGGACACACGGAGACAGAGGCCAGATGAAGACGCCAATTAGTGAGCCAGACAGAGCAAGCTCCGGCAGATGGCACGGCCGGCTTCAGGGGCAGGAATAATCCCGTCGCCTGTCCCTCCATTCAGCCTCTCTCTCTGCCAATCACTCACCACCCTTCCCTGGGCCGGGAGGGGGACCTGACCCTCTGACCCCGCTCCCACACCTCCTGGCCCCCGAGATGGCCGAGCGAGCAATGGCCGGGTGGCTCCCTCCCCGAGGGTCTGGCAAACAGAAGCCCCTTCTGACCACCCCCTGCCCTTCCCCACCCCAGCGCCTTCACCTGCGGGAGCCCCTAGGTGGGCACGGCCTCCCTTCTCTCGGGCTGTCATGGTCTGGACACGGAACCCCTGGGCGACCTGGCCGAGAGCGGACGGCCCACCCGCAGAGCCCCGAGGCCCTCCTTGGCGCTGTGCCCACGAAGGGCTTCTCCTCGGCCCACGGAGGGCTGGGAGCAGGGCCCAGCCCCACAGCAGCCGCCCGGGGGGGTCCACTGCG